AAAATCAATTTCATTAGACATATTTTGAGATACTTCATCTTCCATCACATCATCAATTGAAAGACATTCCATTTCTATATAAGAAGGCTTACTTGGAGTTAATTCAGATGAGATTGATATATTTTCACTCTATATGAAATATTATCATTATATAATGCTTTATAACAATTAAAAAGTATAACTATTTACCTTATATTTTGTAGTAGAATCACTAAAACTATATTCTGAAAGATTCCAAATATCATCATTATCTAAATATTTTATAGAAACTATATTGTTTGTAGAATCTTGAAGATAAGGATGACATTGTGAAATATGTTGTACTAATACGAATAATTTTGAAAATCCTCGATTATAATGCTCATACTGCTAATGCATTTTAAGAAAAAATAAAAAAAAAATAAAAAAAAAGATATAAAAAAAAAAAAAGAAAGAAAGATATATAAAAAAAAAAAAAGATATAAAAAAAAAAAATTTAAAAAAAGATATAAAAAAAAATCGAAAATAATCATTAGAAATCAAAGAAAATTAAAAAAGAATAAAAAAATATAATTGAAAAGATAGAATCAGATATATGTCAAATGTAAAAAATAGAATAGGATATATGTATTAAATATAAAACTAGAGTATGGATTTTATATAAAAAGAGTGCCTAAAAATAAAAGAGAAATAATATAAAAAATATTATAAAGCAAAATATATGGATTAGTATCGATATATATCATTAGATATTTTTTGGCTTATTTTATCAATATAATAATTATTTATATAACATAATATTATGCTTTATAGTATCAATTATAAATTTTAATTTCATAATAAATCTCAGTGAAATCTATATGATATGTGCATAATAAATCTCAGATGCAATATAATGATAAATCTCAGCAAATTGTCATTACAAGCATTACAAATATAATGACAAAACAAGATAAGTATACATTATTGTCATTCTTTATATTTTGTTTTTCATCATTAGGTTTTAACTTATATTTCCTGTTTGCAAAAGTTTTACCAAATATAAATAAAAGTATAAATAAAAGATTTTTATCATTTAAAAGGTAAAAAATTTTATTTCACTTTTGAAAAAATTTCGAAATAGATGCTAATACAACTAATATCGCTTCTTTCTAACAACACCCTCAATTAATGCCTCCAACTGATACTTCTTCTTATCAACAACCAACTTCATCTTCTTCTTATCAACAACTGACTCCACCTTCTTATCAACAACTGACTTCACCTTCTCATCAACAACTGACTCCACTTTCTTTTCATTAACAACCAACTCTACCTTCTTATCAATAACCTCAAATGATTAATATTACTTCTTCCTATCAACAACCAATTCTATCTAATATCGCTTCTTCATACTAACCACCCTATCCAACTCAAAATGATGGTTATGATTCATCAAATTTAGCTGCTTTAAGAATTATAAGTATCCAAAAAACCTTTCAACTATGAGTAGTAAATTCTGATCAACATAAGCATGATGTCGAAATTATCATCCTTTAACACAACCCTCTCAACCATCCTGCTCACAATATGGATCATGTTCTCCACAACATGAACCACATTCTTTATCTGGCAATAGAAATCATTCATTATCCTTACCACCACCATACTTACATTCACAATTACAGAGAAGATCGACAAAAAAACAATCTTTTCATAATTAGCATAATCAAGGTAATTAATATTAATTAATAATTAAATCTATATAAAAGTTTTTTTTTCATGTAACTAAAAATAGTTTTTTTTATTTTTTTTTTATTTTTTTTTTTAACTTTTTTTTTTTTTCTTTTTTTTTGAGGCTTGTTGCCCTTAAAGATTGCACTCATCACCACTGCTAACAAGTAAATAAGTGACTTTTTGCTCAACATCAGCAGCTGTATATCTTAGTAAAAGGCTTAGCAAAAATGTAAGAAAGGTTAAGGCAAAATTAAAATGCCAGTAAAGTGATATGGAAAATGAACCTTCCTCGAAGGTCCTGAAAGTTAGTATTTCATGCAGTTTTGATAATAGTAAATGTTTGAAGTGATTTTTTTGTATTTTAAATGAAACTTACTTAAAGTCTTTTGCTTTTTTTAGGAAATTTTTACTGGTGTTGCTAAACATCTCTTTCTGTACCATGTGTATTCTATCCAAACTCTAATCAAAAAACATTAAAGAGCTACCTAGAAGAAAAGTTCCTGGATTTTATATTTAATCTAAGCAGCAACAAATTCACAAATCATTTTTACGATCAATAGTTGAGTCCGATAATATTCCTTTTTTTATTATATTTATTGCTTATAATTGTTAATAATCATTTTTTAATTTTCTTAATTTATATTATTTTGTATTAGGTAATGATTTTTTATTATATATTGTTTACGATGGTTTTTGGTTTTAATTTTCCAAATACTTACAATTTGCATTATATAGCTTCTAAAAAAAATTAAAAACACCTGTGGCACTGCTCTTCAGAGTGTTAGGTCATCAATTTGGAGTGTTTTTGGGATTGAAAAGTTGCCCTGGTTAAAAAGTAATGCAGTTGCAGCCAATATTGTAAGGTGGAAGGAAAGTTTAGAAGTAAGTGCTTGCTATCATGCACTTTTTAAAAAAAAGATGAGGGTGTCTTTTGGATGTTTCTTATCGCAAGAACAGCTTTTACTACAGCAGCAGTCCCTTCCATATCTAGTGAACATTGTGTGTTCACGCTTGTGGTTTGTGACATCCTTATCAACCCCTGCTCATGAAGCATTTTGTGTAAGAAATCATGTATAAGACATAGAATTGAACAATATTTGGTAATTGTATATTTTGTTTTTAAAGGTAATAGTATTAACATTTGATATATTTGCATAGAGAGATTTTGAAAGTGGTAGCCCATCACATGAGTCTGCACAAAATATATTAAATGACAAAGCTGGAAGTAATAAATGATCAAAAAAGGCCTTACTTTAAGATTTTAATCCTGAAACTTATTTCTGAAAAAGTCTATCAATGTCACAAGAAGAAATGAATGAATTGTTTAGAATTGAGTATTAGTGATAGTTTTTTTTTGTAATTTTTTTCTTTGTATTATGTTTTTTCTTTAAATTGTATTATTTTTTGTTTTTTTTCTTTATATTGTTCTTTGTCTTTGTATTGCATTTTTTTAATGTTAATACATCAGTTTTAATATCAAATATATGCATGTAATAAAGGTTATATTTTAATAAAACCAGTTATTGCTTTAAGCATTTTTAAAAATAGCATCATTGTTGCTTTATTGCTATAAATTAGTAGTATAAAATTTATTTGATAAATATAGATATATATCAGATTTTTTATATAATTGATTAATAGTGATTTTCTGTTATAACAGCTATATATCAATCTTTATCTCAATCAATATAACCCAACAGGGGGATTATTATTAATATATATCTGCGTAAATAATAATCGATATATATCAGCCTATAATTTTTGCTGATGTATGTATACCATGCATGAACAGGTATACTACAGAAACTCTAAATCCATGCTTCGATGATGGGTTTGTAGATCGATTATAGGTAGAAAGTATTCTTCTGATTCTTTGTCTTTCCATTTTTAATCTATCTTACTAACTTCTTTCTTCTGCATTTTATCTTTAGATTTTCTTTTTATGTCATCATCTTTTTTCATTAGTGGCAGTTCTGGTTCAATCAGCATTGTTTTGACTTCATTGGTCTTTTTTTCAAATTCAATTTCCTTTTTAACTCTAATTCTGAAGGGTTTCTTATTTAATTCAAGTAGGTCTTTGAATTCCTCTTCCCAGCAGGGTGCAAAACTATTCTATCCATTCAAGCTGCCCTTTCTAGCACTTTTCAAATACTGTTCAAGTGCTTCACCATCATCCTTCTTAGGTTCAGCCTTTTCAACTTCAATTCTATTTTCACTGGCATTAAAGGTTCTATTGGCATTTTTTATTTCTGCTAATTTTTGATAAGGTCCAATGGCTTTATGTTCATTCTTTTTGACTTTAATTCCATTTTGATAACAATGTTCAAAGACTTTATATTTCTTCTTTTCAACTTTAATTCCATCATTGTCTTCATATATCATAGCACCATTCTTGTTGTTATTACAATTATTATCATCACCATCATCATTATTATCATCATCATTATCATTATTCAATACTTGACAGTAGTTCTTTCAACTTCACTTCTATTTTCATAACAAATACTAACATTACATGTTTCTTTGACATAATCCATGTCTGTGGCTTTCTGAAAGTATTTGAATGCATTTTTTTTGTCCTTCTCAGCATCAATTCCATTTTGATAACAAGGTTCACAGATTTTACATTCATTCTTTTCAACTCCAATTCCATTTTGATAACAAGGTCCAACTTTTCTTGTTTTATTAGCATTCCCTATCTCTGCAGATTTTAGGAAATATTTGATCTTATGTTCGATCTTCATGACTCCATTTTCATTATGATAACAAAGACCAATATTAATTGTTCCATCAGCATAACCCATGTTTGCAGCTTTCTGATAATACTTGAATGCCTTGTGTTCATCCTTATTGATACTGATTCTGTCTTGATAACAATGTCTACAGGTTTTACATTCATCTTTTTCTACCCTAATTTTATTTTAATAACAAGGTTCAACTTTTCTTGTTTTATCAGCATTCACTATCTTTGCAGATTTTTGGGAGTATTTGACAGCTTTATGGTCATCCTTTTCAATGCTAATTCTATTATTGTTTCCATTATCATTATTATTGTTATGATCATCAGGTTCATCATTTTTTAGCTTCATCATCATCAGGTTCGAATTTCTCTTCTACGATCTTAAAAGGCCTTCAAAACACTTCTTTTTTATTTTCCATATTATCAAGTTTTTGATAATGAGAGGGGCCTCATGTTCTTTCTTTTCAGCTTTTATTTCTTTTTCATAACAATATCCAATATTATATGCTCCATCAACATTCTCTATTTCTGCAGATTTTTGATAGTAAACATGTGGTTTAGGCATTCAGGTCTTTAGAGTCTTCAGGTAACTATTGATTAAGTTTTCTAACTCATCTTCTAAGCCATCTTTGTCTTTCACTTGTTTACTAGGTTCTTGTTTAGTCTTTGCAACTCCAATTCTATCCTTTTCAAAGCTAATTCTGTTTTGATAGCAGTTCTCATAGTTGACAGATACAGGTTCTTCAAGCTGAAGTGTTTTCAAATATCTATCGACCAGCCTTTCTAGAAGAACTTTGGTATTAGGAATACTATCCTCTACTTCAAGGGCAAGATAAAGGTCTATCAATTCAGAAATCAGGTTCTTCTGATACCAGGATGGCATAGAAGGAACTTCTGGACTTGGAATGATTCTTATAAATCTAGCTAATCTTCTTCAGCAGGATTTAATATATGAGAGTAAATATATAACAGGTTCTTCTCAAGTCTTTAATAAGTGATTCAAGCTAACATTCTTTAATATTTCTAGAAAGCATTCCAGAACTTGAGAGTCATCAAACCTTCAGTTTTTCATGGTTGTATCAACCATTTCATGGACTTCTATGGCTTGTTCTTCAGTAAGTGCATCTACTAAATTTAAACTTTCTAGCTGCATTGTTCTTATTTTTGGGCAATTACTAACATTGTGGTTTTCTTTTTTACAATAGGAACACCAAGTCTTTTAGTGTTTTTGTCTAATTGGTTGGGAATTCTCTGAAGCTTGCAGTATTGATGTCTTCTTTGTTCAGGCTTCAACCTTTCTTTGGAATTAGTTAAATGTCAGCAAGGAGTAAGTATCACATATTTTTTTTTTTATTTTGTTTCGAATCCTTTGATATGGCTCACTAATATACTAACTCTTATACTCACTGTCTCTATAACAAAACCATAGCTAAGGCCTTTCTTTTGGACCTCAAACTGAAATTAATTACCTCAAATTATGCTATGTTGAATCAGAGTTGGCACTCTTCTTTTTGGGTAAGTTTTCTTGCTTTCTCTAAATTCAACTTTTTACACTTCGTCAGTACTAACCAGAACTATACTAATTTTTCTCTTTTTTCACAGCCAGGATTACAGTACATCGAATTGGGCTAGAGTATCTTTCTTGAGTCTTATGTTTCAGGTTTACTAATTTTGCAGCCTAGCTGCTTGAACCGATCTCTTCAAGATTCATTGATAGGATATTGTACGATCTTATAGTTACCACCAAATGTAATTCCAGAATCGGCAAGTTTGTCACTACTCTAATCCAACTTTTGTGTAACCTATAGCAGCTAAGTTGAATTAGGCATATTAGATTTGGCTGGGTGGTTTAATCGTAGATAAGTTCTAATCTTCTCTTTAGGGCTTTCCTTTAACTTAGTCTTCTACTAACTCTTTATCTTCTTTTTATCTTTACTTTATCTTCTCTTTATCTTCTCTTTATTTTCTCTTTATCTTCTCGTTATCTGCTCTTTATCTTCTCTTTATGGCTTAACCTGGAATTATACTACATCAAATCGGAGTTGGAACTTCCTCTATTACGTTAACAGTTTTGTTATATAACTTGTAGCAAATGATCAATGATGAGTTTAAGGATTTATTTGAATGAATGATAAAAGTAACAATAGAGTTTATAATAGTTTATTGGTTTGTATAGAGTAGAGCTTCACTTTATTAAGGGTCAGATATTTATTTGTTATTAGGAAATTTGTTGTTAGGAATGCCAAAATTAATTATTCTTCCAAGGCAAAAATGCCTTTTATTTATAATAAATATTTTGTTTACATTGGTAATTAATTTCTAACATAAATGTAATATCCCTTATATCTTAATATATTTAATAAATTTAATAAAAAGTCAATATCTCATTTATTACGTAAGTAACAGAAATAGCATAAGTAACAGAAGTAAGAGAAATAAAAAAAGTAACATTTTCATTACTTTTTATATGATCTTGGATTGGGTAAGAATCAGGCAAGGATCATCACTTCGATTCAGACACCTGTGATCCCAAAAATCAGACTTATACTAGTATTTTGCATTTTCTATTTACTTTATTTGTTGTTAATCTTTTTGACTATGCCTTCTGTTCATTATTATATTGTAGACTTTTTCTTAGATATATGTTTGTTTGTTGCTATTATGATTGCTTCTTCTATTATATTTCATATATTGTTAATTTTTTGTATTTTCTTTTTCTTTTTTTGGTCTTCTTTTTATATATTTTCCAAAGTTTTTTTTATCTTTAATTACTTTTGTAACTCTTGTATATAACTTTCTTATTCTTTCTCTTTTGTTTTATCATATAGATATATTGTTTTTAATTGACTTTTTTCTTTAACTTCTGTCTTGTTACTTTTTACTATTATATGTTTTATTTATATTTCTGCTATTACTATTTTGTAATTACTTTTAGTAATTTCTTCTATGTCTTCAATTTCTACTTTTGTAAATCTAAAGCTAGTCTTTTTGATACTTATATATAGTTAATTCAAGTACATATCATTTCACTGAAAATTAATTTTCTGACATCCTATTTTACTAACAATTAATTCGCCTATAAGTTTATTTACTAACAACTATTTTACTAACAGCTTATTTCACCAACTAGGTGTTTTTAAAGTTGCACTAATATTAACTTTAATTCTAACTGACTCTAATGAAAATAACCAGAATTACTTTGTCAGTAAAATGACTGTCAGTAAAATAACTGTTGGTGAAATAAACTTGTTAGTAAATTAACTATCAGTAAAATAGGCTATTGTTAAAGTGATTGTTGGCAAAATAAGCACCATCTATTAATTCTTATTGTTATTTCTAAATTTTTTTTTTTTTTTATTTTTTTTTTTTATAAGGTGAGGTTTTGCTCATATCTTTATTAATTTGTTAAAGAAGCCTCCAGGGGCTTCTCTGGATATAAATTACAAACTTATTCCAATTACAAATATATTACAAGAATGAAGCTCAGACTATAGACAGGTTTCTATCTAATTTATCTGCAACCTAAACCTACTAGAGTGGTTAAAACTCACCTAGATTTGATAATATAAGATATTGTTTGTAGGGTAGCTATATAGTATCCAGTGTACAGACCAAAGGTCAATTTTACGAAGTGCATTTCCTAGTGGTGGGCAGTTGTTATCTTATCTAAATAAATTTTAAATCTATAATATTTTATTCTAATATATAATATTAGTTATACAAATTAAAGGGATGTAGTAACTTGTAAAGTATATAAGTTGTCAATCTTCTAAGTAGTAGGTTATGAGTTCAAAACCTATTGATAGTGAAAATTTAAATAATTATCTAAATAATATATAAACAGTATTATAGTAATAGCATTTTATTAATCAGTTAGAATAAGATATTTGTAACTATAGTTTACTAGCATAACTGGCAGGTTATAGGCATCTGTATAACTAGTTATATAGAGAAATACAAACAGGCAATAGGTGATGCAAACCTAAAATAACTTTTTATAGCTATATAAAACTGTAAAACTGAGAAGCCAAAACTCATTTGAGAAGATCTAAGTAGAGAAGTAAAATTAATCTTTAATAATACTACTGTAAAAGCTATATCTAAAAAACAGATACCAATATAAAGAAATCAAGCAAAAATCTTAGATAAGAGGTATCATTAATCAGGCTGCCAAAAGTTTTAAACCAGAAAAAAAAGATATTAAATATCATAACCCAGATATATTAAAGACATTTACAGTTTTTCTAGACTATTTAAATTAAAAGTCTGATAACAAAAGCAGATATATACTATAAGTACTAAGGATATATTATAAAGTAGATACTGAGGTCTAGGTAAACTTTGCAAGAATGAACCCTGTTAATAAGAATTAAATGTAAGTAGATAGTTAGCAGAAAGGTCTCTAAAACCTTATAGTTAGATAACATATTCTAAAATATATAACAGCTTAATAGATGTATAGACAAAAAGATTAAAGTTAGCTTAGACAGCATTTAAATATATAAGAACCTGTGTATTGTCTGTTATATATAGTATAGAGATTAAAGAGTTTAATTAAGTAATCTCTTAACAGATTACAAATATAGCAGCTAGTGTAGAATCTGCAAACAAACTATTTAAATAAATAGCCAAAAGCTATATATGTGGCTAATTGCATACTTACTTTATATAAGTTATATCATAATAATTAAATTACAATAAAGGCAGTAGCTGTTGATAACCAATGGCCTTAGCAAAAACAAAAAAAAATTATCAAATTAGAAATTAAATAAATCAATTAGTTAGTTAATTGCTAATTAAATAACTGAATTTTTTAGATATCAACTAATTAATTAATTAATTAACTAATTAATTAGTTACAACTAATTGACCAAAAGGGGTGTGGCGACCTAGTGAAGTGGATAGGTTGTCAACTCCCAAGTGGCAGGTCTAGAGTTCAAATCCTAGTGACGGCGAAAATTTGCAATTCTTTCTGTGTTATGGCTAACTGTC